TTAAACAATATTTAATATATGAAAATATATTATAAAATGCAAAACACATTTCTCATCTAAAAACGGTAGTGTTTTATTGAGAGGCCATTCTGAGTACCACATTAGAGATTAAATGGACTTTATCTAACATTACATTTTAAATAAGATGAACCATTAGTAGGTGGTCTTGCTAAGACCACAGAAATCATTCATTTGTACACAGAAGGCTTTCAGAAAACTAAGGATTGTTCAACATATTTTGCAAGTAGTGTTTGCCTTGACATCAAGCTCGCTGTTAACCAGCTTATTGCTCTATAAATGGCTGTCTAAATTGCTGCTCCTCGAATCGGAGCACTGTTATACTCATCAGCATGGCTTGTTATACTCATCTGTAATACTTTTCACTAAATTAAATCATGTGCACATCATCACTTCTAATCCCCCATCCTGTCTGATCTCTAGTTTTGTCTCTTTCCCAGATGAGGCTTATTATATTTAAATCAAACTGCTTGGTTCTGTCTATGAAGATTAAATGACCACATTTTTCATGTCTAGAGTCCAGTCCAAAGTTTTGTATACAACAGACAGAAAGCTTCCTCTTTCCTTTTACTTCATGACTATTTGTGACCTAGGGTTATGTTTAAAGAGTGTCTACAAGTTAGAGTAAACTCAACATCTTCTTGATTCCACTAAAACCAGCAGAATGGGATAGGTTACATTCAAATACATTTGTTTGTTGGGGAAAAAAAAAAACCCATGATCTTGAGTCACTCTATGTTCCTTGTGGTTCTCACTTTGTAAAAATCATTGATAGCGGAGGATGATAGCCTTGTTGCCCAGGCAAAGAGCTCCCAGCAAGAGCAAAGGCCTAAAGTTTGCGCCATGGTCATTCAACAGTGTCTCAGTGAACACAAAAAGAAACTTCACTTTCTTATTTAAGCTGGAGGGATTTTATTGCTTAATATTCATATTTATAATTATTTGGAGATAAGAGACCTGGCCAAGATCTGCTGGATATATATTGTGGGGACTTTTTCCTAGAAAAGGCACAAATGCAATATTTTTTTAAAAAAATAGACTTCTACGGGGGTGATGGATGTTTCACAATATGTCCACAGATTCCCTTAGGACCGTAAAGTGATTGCTAACACCTAAAGAATGTGCTTTTACCAAGAAAAAAAAAGAATCTAATTTTACATTTGCCCAGTGAATTTGTGACTCTGTTTTTAAAACATGTATTTGAGCCAAGCATGCTAGCTCAAGTCTGCAAGCTCAGCAGTCTTCAGGAGGTCAAGGTAGAAAAATTCCATGAACTCAAAGTCATCTTGGGCTACACAATGAGTTCCAGACCAGCTTGGACTACATATAATGTGTTGCTCTTGCTCAAAAAACAAAACAAGCAAATAGGAAAAAATCATGTATATTTCTTGCTGCAGAAGCAGGAGATTTGGAAACTACCTTTCCAGTGTTGAACACACCCCACTCCTTACCTCACTGTCAGTCACTGGCCCTGTTTATGTTCATGGGAGCTATACAGATCTGTTTTCAACTTTCCTCCACATCTTCATGAAGTCAGAGTCTCTGGTATCTTTTCTCAATTTTCTATTTCCCAAACTTTCTGTTTTCATGTACAGTTCCTATAGAATAGTTCTTCTGATACATACAGCCTTCAAGTGAGAGGTAAAGTCTCTTTCCTAAGTTGCTGCTGACTCTGTCATTGGGGCCATGGCACATAAAACCACATGCTCAGCTCCTGGCAACAGAAGCTCCCATAGTGTCATGTGGAAACTTGTCACTTAGTTACAAACAACCAAAGTGGCTTCATAAGTGTGTGTGTGTGTGTGTGTGTGTGTGTGTGTGTGAGAGAGAGAGAGAGAGAGAGAGAGAGAGAGAGAGAGAGGTCATCTAGCTATGTGTCCTTAGTTAGCCTGGAACTCACTTTGTAGACCATCCTGAGAATAAACTGGCAGCTCCAGTCTTGGCCTGCCAAACCACCTGCTTTACAGAGTAAAGGGGGAGCACACACAGAGCTCTGCCTGTGGGTGTTGTTTTTCCCTCTTTCTTCCTCCCTCCCTCCCTCTCTTCCTTTCTTTCCTTCTGTTTTCTTCTTTGACTCAGTTTACTTTGTCTACCTTCAACTCCATTTTTTTCATAATTTTACAGATACATGCTATACAGCCTAGTCTTCTGTATGACCCCTTTTCTGTGTGTTCACGTTATTGTAGAAAAGGCTTCTCCATTGTGCTTTCTGGGGTTCCTTTGTCTCCTGCCTGTGTGCAGTAATGACCGAGTCCACATTTGTACTGGATTCTGACGGAGATGTGAGTCATTGTAGGCTGTGTACAGGGGATACTTTCGTCATACATCTGTCAGCATGGAGTCTTGGAATTGCACGAATACCTCCAGAATAGCTTAGTCTCTATCTAAGACTAATCTCAAGTAGGGGTTCATCAAGTATTGCATATAAATTTAAAGAAAATTGCAGTATGAAACATAAATTAAAACTATGTAGAGAAAGACATAAAATATATACCAAATGACTGTATACTTTAATTTCAACATCATTGGACCTATAACCAAATGAATATTGCTGATGGGAAAAGGGAAAATAGTGGCTCAAAAGGGTTTCAATACAGAAATTAATCAACTATACATTCTTCAACTGAAAGAGGCTTTAGGGCAATCCACTTTAGAAACTAGAGGATTTGTGGTAAGTGTTCTACAGGACACCTTTGTGGTAACGTGTTACCAGCTCTGCCTCATTAAAGCTTTTCCCTTGAAAATATTTCATTTCGAAGTGGTTTCATTTCAGAAAATGTGTGTTTCATGTAAATTTATGGTAACTGTTATTATAAAAACTAACAGAATTAAAATCACGTTAAGAAACAGATATGTACTCAAATGTGAGGATAGATTGGATAATGTATAAGTATTGACATTTTTCTTTCTATTATTCCTACCCAAATTAATATTGGCATTCCTCATTTAAATTCCCAAACACATTTTCATTACCTTGTAGTTGAATGGAAAGCATGCTGGAGTCAATGGGGCTTCAGCACACTTGGGAAGGGACCGTCAACCTCTGCTCAGGAAAATGAGTGTTGGGTGGCAACATGAACCCAACAATGTCAAAAGGACGCTTAGAGCCTTCTGCACCAGGGCAGTATTGGTACTGTAAACCTAGGACCTGTCTTAGAGAATGGCCAGAGAGTATGGATTGGCATCTTAAAAGTTAAAGTTGAAATTCGGCTGAGATGCCTTGACAGTGGCACCCTGCATTTTATACACCCAACTCACACACTAGGATGTGCTAGAAGTCACCTAAGGACCCTTAAAGTGCACAGCCAATCACTTGTGTTCTCAGAATCTCAACACCCTATTCAGGTGTTTACATCATGTACTTCTGAGGCTTTTGAGCTCTGTGTGCAAAACTCCCGCAGAAATTCTGCTTGGAGTCAGTGTGCTCCCTTCCTTCCCCTCAGAAATTATCCCTCTTTTCTATGTAACTTATTGCAACCTGAAGTAATTTTCAGTTTCTAATAATAAGTTTCTCCCTACAGACTTGTGTCAACAGAAGTTGTGCGGGATCTGCATAGGCATATTAAAATATTTAAATATTATTACTCCTGCTCAAATATTGTTGCAAGATAATGCACCAAGTCCAGATATCATTTCTTGCCAAATTGTACACTAAGCCTGGGGGTAGCAGGGCGTACAAACTCACATAGTGCTTGAGTCTTGGTTTTACTGAAAACACAAGCCAAGCCTTACTTTTATTTTTCAATTCTAACTTGAATGTTTTTCATAATTCTTAAGAAAATCTCATAAACCAGTTATCTAAAATATAAAAATGCACACAAGTTATCTTGAAGATAAGTCTTCAGGTTAAATGTGGATGTAGTGGTAATCTTCTAATATTGTACTTAAGATTTGGAATAACGGAAGAAATCTGAAGTTAAATTATTGTGAAATTGGCAGGAGACGTACTAAACTGTTTCTGCATTAGTTCAGTCAATTGGATTAGACTATTTATTAATGAACACTTATTACTGGGTAGACATTCTATCTGGGATTCCAAAATGAAATGACATATTCTCTGACATCAGCGAGTTTTGTGTAGTGAGAACAGTGAAGGAAGCTCTATAAGGGAACAGACACAAGAAAGGATCAAGAGCAGCAGGTTGCTATGAGAAGCCACTTTCTAACTCCACATGGAGTGTGCTCTCCTTCAGGAGAGACAAGCTGATACCTGAAGAGTGAGTGGAAGATGATCAGATGTGTGAGGAGGAGAAAGATTGTTGGTGTTGGCTACAGAACAAGAAAAATTTAGAGGCGTAAGTGAGCCTGGGGGGGGGGGGGGTTAGAGCACACTTAGAGCAGAATTACTGTGGAAAATGGAAATAAAACCCTGTGAAAAATGAATACCACCAGGCAAAGAAAAGCCAGGCCATCTGAGTTGCAGCTATCGGCAAAAGTATGCTTATACATTTCTCTGCTCTGTAGGCATTCTTAGTGAAGGATTTTGAATAAGAGAATTCCATAAGCCAGTGGGTACATTGTGGGTCCAAGCATATGGGTAACAATGTCGTGACTGTTACTTTTTTGTTTATACATTACAGAAATGGCACACATCCTTTTTGGTATTATGACTTTGAAAGGCCTTCCTTGTAATTGAGTTCGGTGATGCCAAAAGCAATATTTTCACTAAATGATACATCAGAATAATAATAAGGGCCTCTGAGCAGATCTTTAGTCAACAGGGTTTTAATAGACTATGATGCAGTCCTTAATGGAGAAGATGCAATTATAAAAGATACCCTGTCTCTAATGGAAATTTGTCTGGGTGTATTTTTACTGCTCAGTGAATGAAAAGATTTATATAGGCCACGTGGTTGAGATTCTCGGAGAAAAAAACACACACAACGAAAAGTTTTCCATTCCACATTTTCATTAACTCTTTCAGCAGTGGATCTACCAGAAATAAAATTCACTTGAATTTTGCACCATTTCTATAATTTCAGGGGTTAAGCATCTGAAAGGCCAGAATGGATCGGCATTCCCTGAAGAAGAAGAAAGTGCCAGCGAAAGAGAAGACAAGTGGGCCCACTAGTTACCCACCGCAAGAGGACTCCGTGGGGTTAGCTGGACTGAATGCTCTTCTGAATATCCGGCGGTTCTCCCAAGCCCCACCTCCGCAGGCTCTTTTGCCTCATCCCCACACCCGCAGCAGTTATGGTCCCCCCCGGAGGACTCCATGACCGAACCGGGAAGCCTAGTGCGGATTGTAGTGTACCATTCGCAGCAAAGAATGGGCACTTGTTGTACAACAATTTTTCTTTTAAACTAACAATACCTGGGAATCTGCTACCGTGTATATGTTCTCCCTTTGATACTACCAAAGCTGAACTCCCCCTGGCCTGCAAATACGATTTACTTTCCAAAGTCAATGTAGAGGGCAGTACTCGAAGAGTACAAACTAGATATCAAATGCACTTGGAATGAATGTGTGGGGATTAACGGAAGAGGAATGTCTGTGGAAGCTTCTGAGATAGTACCTGCGTTTAGCCTGCTTCTGTGTATAGATCAGACCAGAGTTTACTTCAAGGAGACAACAATAGGTAGATGTCAGTTATCTTGATTCAGAACAGCACACCAGATATGAAACGTTTCTCCTCCCGCAGTGCATTAATGGTTACTTAAAGAAACAAATGTCTCTTCATTCCCTCAGCTCTGCAATGTTGGCTTCTTGGCACCATCTAATCATCGAGAAGGAAATGCTAAATTTCTAATAAAACATGGCCGATCTCTTCTGTGCTTTCCTTTCTAACGATGTGAAGTTAAGCCATCTGTTATGCATTCGTTTTGTTTGTCTGGGGGGTTTGATTGTCTCTTTTACTTTCCTTGGTGCTGAGAATGAAGCCAGGGCTTTGTATATGCAAATATTCACCCACTAGGCTATGCCCTCAGTCATATTGCATTTTAATAAATCCTTAGTGTTTTATTATTCCTCTCTGTGACAGAATAAAAAGAAACTCTCATCAATTCAGCGTAGACTCGCCCATTAATTCGACAACTGCTTTTTGTGGATACTTAACTTTTTTCTGTTACTTTCTAGATTATGGTTACACCATCTCCCTCTCCGCTTTCCTCCCTCTAAGTCCTCCCATACACCAGCCCTCCCTCCCTTTCAAATTCGTGGTCCCCTTTTTCATTAGTTGTTGTCACATGGTTACTAACAGCTATTTTTAATTGAGTTCTTTCCCAGAATATTACTCTTTTGGAAGTTATGAAGGGAAAGGAAAACTCATTTCTTCTCTGGAGTTGAAATACTGCTAGCTTTTGGAAGACAGTGGGCATTTGCAAGCATGACTTTCACTCAGAGTTCTAACCTTTGACCAATTTTAATTATTTATGATATATGAATGCACAATTTAGTGAGGATAGGTAGTTTTGTTTCTACACTGTTGGTTTTAATGAGGGTCAAATACTTCATGAATGTAAAGAAGATTTTTTGGGAGCCATTGAAGGGAGCTCTGGTGGCATAGGGCAGGGGGTAAGATCAAGATCACCTGCTGACCCTGCCACCCTACCTCTCCTTGGTGGCAAAGCCCTGAAATCTACAGGGCAGGAGGAGAGAGCCAACTGTCCCCCGCTTTGTGAGAGGTATTGTTCCTTCACAAACACACACACCTTGGCATGTGGGATGGACGGGGACACACACACACACACACACCCTACATAACCATAAAATATTATTAAGGGGAAATTGAGAAAAAGAGAAAAATAAAATGTACAATTTACTAAAAATCTTAAATGCAAATACAAAGGGATAAAATGAGTTTTAGTTCGAATATAAATTTTATAATCTAGCAATTAAGAGAACTATGTGAAAGTATTCATAAATGCAGTGAAACCAACAGTGTCCCTCAGTGAGAGGCATCCCAAGACTATGAGTACTATTCGGCTTCCATACTGTCCTCTGTCCTGTTTCCTTTCCCTTCCATTCCCTCTCCTCCTCTCCCCTTCCCTTCTCTTCCCTCCTCTCTCTTTCCCTCCTTTCCTCTTCCCTCCCCTTCCCTTCTCTTCCTTTCCTTCCCCTTCCTTTCCCTTTTTATCTCTTTCCTTCCCCCTTCTCTTTTCCTTCCTTTCTGCCTCCTCCTTCTCCTTCTCTCCTCTCTATTGTCGCTAAATCAATTTTTTCCAGACCTTTAGAGGTTTTTTTTAATCACCTTCCATGACTATTTGTCTTCCTAAGTTTCTCTCTACTGAAAACATCATTGAGGTTCATATTTCTTGTAAATGCTTTTGAGCTATTTATGTTTCAAAACATCGGTTACACCCGTTGAGAGGGTTTGTGACTCCTTGCTGTACTAACAAAATAAAAGCCACCCTTTCCTTTTAGCTGGCTAGAGACTTTTATAAAAGCAACACACACACGTGCACACAAATGCGTGCGTGCACACACACACACACACACACACACAGGCAAACAAGAAGGATCCAAATTCCTTCTTGATTATGCGCCCTCAGCTTTGGAGCCAAGCAGCATGACTTTTGAATCACTTCCTCTCACTCTCTGTTCTTAGAACAGGTATGGAACACTAGGGTGCAGTTCTCCTTGGGAATGCTGTCTCCTTCTGTTCTTCTGTCCACTTTCAAACAAATCAAGAGCAGCTTAAACTTAAGGTTTCCTTGGGAAACAAGTGGCATTCTCAGAGATTTGAAGGAAACGAGAGCCAAGATAATGGATTTTCTATTTCCTTTTCAAACAATTATAGTCGACAATGAAAGCTTTTTTTTTCCTTGTTGTTGTTTTTGGTATCCTCAAGGAGATAGTGTGGCTTTAGTTTGGTTGAATAGGCCAAGAAAGTTTCTGCCTAGTACTCCCTTATGCCCAACCTCATTCATAAGATGACATTATGGTTAGTAGATAGGTTTTGAATCACGCTGACATAGATTCAGATTCAATCTCCATTTGCAAAATAAGAACATTCATTTTGAACGTACATTGTTCTTGAGACTTGAGTGATGGAAGATCTATGGAATGCCTAGATTAGCCAAGTGGGCGCTGTTGCCAGGTACAAAGGACCAGAAAGTGTCTAAACCTCTCCTAGTGTGTGCCCTTTTTTTAAACGAAAGGGTAAAGTGATCAGTTCTCATTCACTCTCCAACAACTCTGACCATGTCCCAACTGACCAAAGAATTGTCGTTGCTCCTCTGTGCCAGACTGAGCATTCTCTGCACCCCTGCACAGTCCCCCATTCTCTGCACCCCTGCAGTTCCCCCTTTGTCACCATGGAAGACTCAGCATTTCCTCTCTTCTTTCCCTTGTCAACCATGCAGCTATCAGTTAAAACGTCATCACTTCTCCCCAAACTGTCTGCAGCATCCTTGTCGCTCATTTGGGGATGCTTGGTTGTTTATGCTGGATGTAAGAAAGGTTAAAGGTTACAGATGATATTTTATATCTCAAACAGAAAAAAAATGGGCAAAGAATGTCATATTTCAGATGTCTAAATCAGAGACCTCAGTACTGGATCATAGATTTGTGGTTTGAGTTAAGGAATTGTACTTCAAAACAGAATTCTAAACTAATTTGTATTCCTAAACAAATTTCCATGATTTCACTTTGAATTTCCCATGTTTTCTATATTATGGAGTAAATTGTTTTAGGCTAGTCATGATCAAATTATGTTTGTTTTATGCATAGGATCAAAACATGTAGAAAATATTCACATCTATTATTTTTAAGTGGATATTGTTTAGGATGGAGAAATTTAAAGTGAAATGTATATTTCAAGTCCACTTAAAAATACATTCAATGACTGTAGTATGACTCCAAATCACAAACATAAGATAGCATACAACGGAGTGAAGTTTAATAAGCATTTGCCTTGGATACTGTCGTAACAAGCAACTTAAGTGTAAGCATTTCAGAGTCTATCGAACTGCAATATAGACTTGCTAAGTCATAAACAAGCCACACACCTTATGCACTTCTCGTCTGCATCTAAAAGCAAAGTTGAAGTGCAAAATGAATACTAGGAAAGGCAAATGAATACTGCTTGTACCAAAGTGTTTATGCCATTATACAATTTGGCATAAAGTGGATACAAGAAGAAATTGTCTTTATCATTTTTATAAGTCACTGATCCCAAAAGAAAATCCCTCAGAGTCATCATGTTTATTCGTTAATAAATACGTTGCTGAAATGGAAAATATCTTAAAGAAATTACATGATTACATTTCAGAACGTTATGCAGCCTGAATAACTAAATATAAACAAAAGAGAGTCCAGATGGGATGTTTCTATTAAATCCTTTCTCTCAGAACTCAGGGAGCCCCAAGGAAGAGTAGGAAAAAAAACTGTTAGAGCCGGAGGGGATGGAGGACCCCAGGAGAACACGGCCCTCTGCATCAGCTAAGGAAGCCTCTTAGGAACTCAGGAGCCAGGGCAGCCAGCAGGTGCCTACATGATCCTGCATCAGGTTCTCTTGGTACCTGCGATAGCTTTTTGCTTGGTATGTGAGAAAGAGGGGGTCTCTGACTCTTGTGTCTGCTCTCTCAACTCTTTTCCTCCTGTTGGGTTGCCTTGTTCGACTTTGATATGATTGTTTTTGCTTGATCTTATTAAATTTTATGTTGCCACGTTCGGTTGTCATCTCTCAGAGGCCTGTTCTATTCTAATAAAAGAAAGAAGGGGAGTGGGTTAGAGGGGAGGGGAGCAGAGGGGAGAGGAAGGGAGGGGAAGAACTGGGAGGAGAGAAGGAAGGGAAAAACCTAATCAGGATGTATTGTATGGGAAGGGAGTCTATTTTCAATAAAAGGAAAAAAAAGACTGAAGGACAATTTCCTTTACTATATTTTTATTAACTCGGAGAATTTCAAACAACACTACTTGATTACGCTCAGTTCACTCCTTCTCTAATTTCCCCAGGTCCACTCCCTCCCCTCCTATTTTTTTTATGAGGCTACTTTACTTACAGCAGCTCCCGGCCCTCCCTCCGGCTCCTACAATCTTCCCACTCCCTCTTCTGCTTAGATGAAAATGGCATCATAAATAATGAAGGGACTGAGTTCCGCAAATGTCCCCATAACTGGAGAGCTGTGGGGATAGAGCTTTGGACCCCGTAACAGGAAGCGACCACAGTGAAATCATCTACACCAATGAATAAACACATCGAGAAAGAGGCTGCCATTTTCCCATGCATCTTTTTTCTGACATTTGCTTTGTCACGCAAACGTGGACTTAGCCACTTCCCCACTGTATTTAGCTGTCTGGTTTTACATGGACAACAGAGATTTGACCTAGAAATAGCACAAGTACATTAAAGAAAGAAAAGTGTATGAAGGCGGGTTCTTGAAGCCTGAAGAACAAATCGTAAGATAATTTAAAAGACATTGGGTTCATCTTTATCTTTAAATCTTATTCTTCTAATAAGACCACATTTTCTTCCTTTCTTTGACATATAATGTTGATAATTAATTTGAGGGATGAGCTTGGTGATGTTATTGTGATATCAAAATCCTCACAAATATCAGAACTGTAGGGGCATTCAGCACATGGCTTTTGGGAACAGGTGTTAACTTACAAAGACAGAAAGACCAGAAGGAGGAAGGAAAGAAGGAAGGAATGGTGGGAGGAGGGAGGGAGGAAAGAAAGAAAGAACTTTCAGAATGCTTGGATGACACATGACCTTGCCTTTGTATCCCAGAGGTAACACCGCTGGGAAGCTTTTTCTTTCTTATTAATTTTAATATTTAATTATTTTTCCTTTTTATTAAGAATTTTTAAATACAATCTTTTCTCATTTTACATAGCTACCCCCATTCCCACTCCCTTTCCTTCTCCTGCTCCGCCCTTCCCCTCTGCCCCCTCCCATCCACTCCTCAGGAACAGTGAGGTTTCCCATGAGGAAATCAACAAAGTCTGAGACTTTACTTCCAGGCAAGACCAAGGCCCTCCCTGCCCCCGCCCCCATATCTAGGCTGAGCAAAGTATCCCTCCAAAAAGATCGTGCTCCTAGATGCCAGTTTAAACACTAGGAATAAATCCTGGTCCCACTGCCAGTGACCCCACAGACTGCTGGAGCCTCACAACTGTCACCCACATTCAGAGGGCCTAGTTTGGGCCTATGCAGGTTCCCCTGAGCAATCACTAGCTCAGGTCAGCTATTTCTGTGGGTATCACTATCATGGTCCTGACCCCTTTGCTCATATTATTGCTCCTCTCTCTTTTGGGCTGGTCTCCGGTAGATCGACCTATGGCTTCTGCTTCCATCAGTTGCTGGTTGAAGGTTCTAAGATGACAATTAAGGCAGTCTTCAATCTGATTACAGGAGAAGGCCAATATCAAGGCCCTGGGAAGTTTTGAATTAGAAAACGTTACCAAGTTCTGGTTTGCATCCTTCATGTAAGCAATGGGAAAAGCTGAGCATAGAACTTTCTATCAAATATATATCTCACTCAAGAAATTAAAAAAAAAGTCAGGAAAGAAAGCACTTGTGGGTAAATCAGCACAGA